CCCACTTGCAATACCTTCGCGGCCCACCAGGGGGCCGCGGCCCACAGGTTGGGAACCACTGGGCTAGAGCTTGTGCTGGCATATGATTCGATTGGCTGACGCTTCCGTCGAAGCGTCAAAAGTAGAACATTGCTCTACTTTTGCAGCGAGCACCGCGAAAAAAGCTACGCTACCCAGGTTCAATTTTCCTCCTTCCCACTTTTCAAAATATCTCTAATAATAAAATAGGCCCTGGCCGCAATTCTTTGGAAAATGAATCAGAACATGATGATGAATGTGCGTGGAATAATTCCCTGCATGATAAAAGGAGGGAACTTTCTTTCTGGATGTTGTACAGAGAGCTGATTTCTCACACTTTTATATGCATTTAAGTATGGTAAAATAATTAATTTGAACATTTGTCTCCTTTTAAACCCGAACATTAGACAGACATAGTGATAGACTTGGTTGTGGAGGATTTTTGCAGTAAAATGTGTACCTCATACAAGCAGGTATTTTTAATTACAAATGGCTGACTTCTAAGATTCATGAAAAAAAGGTGTTGAGAATGACCCAGAGATCCTGATAGATTAGTAAAGTTTGATCTTATTAACAAGCTCATAAATGTTATAAGGTCTCGTTAGTCCATTTTTTAAATTATCATTTTTGAAAAGTATTTACAACAAACAAAAGTAATACTTACACATAATAAAGGGGAAACAAAATAACATCTGACTGTGTAACCGTTATGAAAGCATTCAAAAAACTGGAGGACAATGTAGAAAAGAAGGAGACCAATAACAATGAAACTAAATGCATAAAATGACATTATGTGCCCAATGCAGTGCATGCTGGGAGAGTTTTCAACAGAACAAACTCATGTTAGCACAATTACATGAATATTACTACGCCAATCAATGTTGCTCATGATTTCATTTGCCTCATTTAATAGTGCACTGTTATCCATCTTCATCCAGGATTTACAAAAAGTGCTTGAAAGCACCGATTATCTGGAGGAGAAAAACAACATTAGTTTGGTGTGATATCTGCTTGTTAGCCTGAGTTATTCCTGCAGGCCCAGGTTGACAGAGACACGGCTCCATATGAATGCTAATTCTGCCGATGTCTGCCTGTGAGCGCTGAGTAGACTTCTTAAGGTGATAATGTGTCCGATATGTGCACACAGTTTATTCCAACACCCCAAGTGGCATAGTTTTTATTTATTGGATGCTTTAACCTTTTGAAGTCAAGCTAGGTGCCAATATTTCATGAGCCAATTTCACAAAGAATTAGACATAGGGTATTCAGCATAGTTGAACGCTTTTATAACTGAAGTTTCCCTTGTGTTTAAAGCTAAAAATAATAAGAAAAAGCTGATTTTATTGAACTGATATTATTAAGTGTGGTGTAGACAGTTTGCTTCAGCTGTACACTGCTGACATTTCCCTTCTCCTGTGTTTTCTGCTTTGCTCAACAGCTTATTGACAGTTTCTGTTAACACTTAGTCTTTTGTTTGCCGTGAAACGGGAATATTGGCACAAACAATTGACTTTTGGCAGCTTAAATACGAAATCTGTTGGCCAAGCAATCGGCAGAAAAGCTGAAAACAGAAGAAAGGGAAGGAGGATGGATGTACAGACCAGGAAAGTGGGGGCATGTAAGATCTATGTCTCCTGAGACCTAAAGCAACCTCTATTCAGGGCATTAAAGATCCACCATTGATCCCATTATGGCTGGGAGACTGAATAGACAGCTCTGCATCAAGGACTGTATGCCTTAATTCATCTGAAGCGCAGACAGAGAAGGAAGCTGCTGTTTGTGTTCCTGGTCGATCATTGGCTGATGTTCCCTCCTTCCCCAAATCAATGACTCTGTCCAGATTCCTTCATATCTCATCAAAGGCTTCGCTGATCCCTTAAACGGACTGGGATTGCAACACAATGGGGGGGTCAAGGGGCAGCATGCAGCAGGTGCAACATGAGCAAATCTCCTCAGGAGGATTGCGCCACTGACCCCTCATCTCCTTTACTCGTGATAATATCACACATTTGACTGAGCACCGGAAATCAATATGCCTCAGCTAAGTTCAGAACCAAAGCTGCTCATTAGAAAAGAGTATTGGTCCAACACGGAGAGTTAAGCTACAGGGATTGTTATCATTGTTAAACAAATAGATCCACAGATGGAGAGATAGAGAGGAGAGGAATAATAAGATGTACTCCCTGTGCTATTTAGCAAACTGTATCTTTTAGTAGATGGGGGGTGGGGGGGAGCCGCCCCCTCCGAGAGACTGAATGCCCGCCTCAGCACACAGGGAATTATAGCTAACTGTTGATATGGAGGTGGGTGAGTTGCAGAATGAAGCTGTGCTCTCAGACTGTCCTCTGAACACCTGGCTCTCAGTGAGGCTGCACTTTATTGCCTCCACGTTTTGGCGAATGCAAAGTGATGCACTGGAAGACAGACATAACCATTTCCTGGGGTAATGAAACCGATATTGTTTTACATTTAAGAATCTACAATTCTGTTTTACAAGGGCAGATTTGGTGCACTGCAAGGCTACCGTAACAGAGATGCTAGCACAATCAGCACTGAAACGGATAATCATGAACAAAGCACATGAAATTAAAAAGAGAACAAATGAGCCAAAGAAAGTGAAAACCATAAAGCAGATTCAGGCAGTAGCCGTATAGATTCACACTTGAAGTATTATCCTACAGAACAGTACAGCTCTAAGAGAAGAGATAACATCTGATCACTTACAACAAACACTAGATGCTCTTTTTAGGTTTTACTAACACTGACATCCTAGTAATCCCCATTTCTTTAAATCTAACAGTAATCTGATACAGTTACTTTTTTTTCATCTTGATTGCGCAATCTGTGTTTAATTCCCCAACCCTGCATGTATAGTATTGAAAGTCAACACCCACCCAACAGAAGTCTTGCCCTTAAATGTCTCTATATAGCCAACTGGAGGAACTGGAATGTTCCACATGGATGCTATGGAAGGAATGCCCATTTATTTACTTGTTAACTTGCTGGATTTTTCATGCTTGTACTAGTGGTTTTTAAATCTAGTCTTGTATGTGTCACAATGGATCCCTTGTATTTTATCTGCAAACCATTTCTACCTTCAGGTACAAATTAATTACCTGAACCTGAGCACCCATAGCTCAGGGTTAGAAGATTAAAGAAATGCTTATTGTTCCTTCACTCAAACACTCGATGTACTCTCACCCTCTAGCAGCAGCAAGTTAGATTGCATTAGAAAGAGAGCATTAGCTCTATGCCTTCATTCTCTATATGAGAATGTTTCATTTGTTCACAACACATTACATTTGACAATTAT